TAATAAAGATGAAACTGTGCAGCAAGTCTGTTCAGAGTTGATAGAAATAAATATTCACTCCAGGAGTTGAAAGTTGAGCACATTTAAGTATTGGAAAAGGTCTCTGTCCTGTCCACTTTGATAGGAAAAACCCCTGGAAGAGGACATTTCACATCACACTGAAAAGGATATTGAATGTTCTGTGGAGTGGGGGGTCCCATCGTAGTTGCAATTATACAAGTAGGTCTTTCTGTGTTGTTAGTTTCTGTTTGCCCTCTGAGATATTCAAAGGCTGAGGTCATAGCTTCACAAGCATTTTTTCCAGCAGGAAGGCTGAGTTTTAAATATCATCCATCACTTTTCCCGCCTTTCCATTCTGCTTGTGTGGCAACAGAATGAAGGATCAAGGAACTGACCTAGATTAAAGATCAGCTTGTTTTATGCAGCTGCACGAAGTGGTGTATGTTAGAATTGGTGAGAGTCATTAGGGAAGCACACGTATGGTCACCAAATTCAGTATTAATCAAACAGGTAGTCTAAGCTCCATGTGGAATAACTAGAATGGATTTTTAAGTAAAGTATTCTGGGGAAGTCCTAGTCCTGCCTTTCTTCACTGACTTTAGAGACAACTTGAAAAGACTTGCATCCTTGGGCTAAAGCTTGCCATTGTAAATTCTGTCTTCAGAATTTCTATGCAGATTTCACAGTTACAGTTTTGTCTGAAAAGCAATTTTAACTGCATTGTTGTACAGAAGACTAGGACTAAGTAGTTGGGAAGGACCTCTGGAGGTTATCTGGTCCAAACCCTTGGCTCAAGCAGGGCCACTTAGACTGTGGAGTCTCCATTCCATCCTTGGCAACAGTCCTGGGCAAATGGCTGTTTCTGGGCAATTTGCTCCAACGCTTGGTCACCCTCATAGTAAAAAAGTGTTTCCTGATGTTCAGATGGTACCTCCTGTGTTTCAGTTTGTGCCCATTTTCTCAGTCTTGTCAGTGTGCTCCGCTCAATCCTCTTCACATACTCCCTTCAGGTATTTATATACATCGGTGAGATCCTTCAGAGCCTTCCTTTCTCCAGGCTGAACAGTCAGAACCCTCTCAGCCTGGCTATGTAAGGTGTTCCAGTCCCATAATCCCACAATTAACTTTGTGGCCCTTTGTTGGACTCTGCAGTGTGTTCATGTCTGTCTTGTACTGGGGAGCCCAGAACTGGACACAGCACTCCAGGTGAGGCCTCACCAGCGCTGATCAGAGGGGCAGCATCACCTTCCTTGACTTGCTGGCAATACTTTGCCTAATGCAGCCCAGGATCACATTGGCTTTCTTGGCAGCAAGGGCACACTGCTGATTGATGTTCAACTTGGTGTCCGCCAGGACTACCAAATCATTTATATACCTGAGACATTTCCATACCTGAATTGTCCTCTCCAGGTAATCTTTTGCGCATCTTAATATATCTGAGTGGCTCTTACTTTGAGAAAGAGTAAGTCAGTTTTGTGATTCAGTGAGATTTCACAGATTGCTGTCAATGTTAAGTTGCCAAAAATAACCTGGATATTTAGGGTATCTTCAGAATCCCACAAGTATAGTACGTTATTTCTGAAAGTTTAAATAACCGTTCCATTTGATCCTTAATTCCACCAACATTTTGCATTTTCGGTGGATCCACCCTTTAACAGTTCTTCACAAGTGGACATTTTATCCTTTATATACAATGTGCAGTTTGCCTGTGATTTTCGTTACATTCAAATAATAGGTATGAAAAGACTTTCCAGATCTGCAATCAGGATTTTACATCAACTGTATTTGTCTTCTGATAGCTGTGAGTATGGATAAAAGTTGGGAGAATTTACAGAGTCACCGAATTGTTAGGGTTGGAGATCATCCAGTCCAACCCCCCTGCCCAGGCAGGGTCACCCAAAGCAGTGACACAGGAACACATCCAGGTGGGTTGTGAATGTCTCCAGAGAGGGAGACTCCATGACCTCCCTGGGCAGCATTAATGGATTTAAAAGCTGTAATCAGAGCATAGACCAGCTCTTTGGTTCCTTTTACTTAGTGGTAACATATTTGTTAAAGAGAGAAGCACTGACAGGCCTGGTGTAATGAACGGGATGTAATTTAATTTTCTGAGTATTTTGCCTAGAATTCGCTGAACTGTGTCTTAATGCTCTTTATGTGGAGTATAAAAATGTAAGTGGGACAGATATTTTTTACATGCTTTGGTGGCAGACATCTGCTGCAGAGACTAATGTTGCATATTTTCAGTGAACCCATAATACTTTGCCTTTCAGCACAGATTTCAGAGATTTCACATTCTGCTGCCTATTTCCCCTTGCCTTGGAGTCTGCTGTCAATATACAGCAAAGTGGGTTTTTTTCTCCCAAGAATGTTACTTTAAAAAAAAAAAAAAAAAAAGAGAGAGAAGCAGCTCTGTGAAGTCTTGCCTTTGGGTGAATTTCTGAACTGTCTCTTCTAGGAGATAGCATTTCCTTTGTTCCAAATGCGTAAACTCGGGGCTTTGTTGAGGAAGGGCAAAAGCACTGCCATCGAAGAACACTCTTGCATGGATTTATGTAATTTATCAATGAGCACTTTATCCACTGGTGTTCACAAGTAATTCATAATTCTCTCTGAGTAGACAAGGTTTTTGTGGGTTCATACTCTTTGTCTGACAAAGTGCCTATAACACTTTTGCCAAAGGCAGAGTTTTTCAAGGCTTAGCTTTCCTAGTGCCAAGGACTGTTCAAAAGCAGTCCAAAAGCCAAGTACCATGCATAAAAGTGTGCATAAAAGCCTACTGTGGCAATAGAAAGGGCTTTAAAAACTGTTGTATTTGTTCACACAAGTGTTTCAGTGTAGAAAATCCTGCCTTTAAGCTTCATTAACTTTGTAAGACTGCAAACTAAGAGTCCAGTGTTTCATGCATTTAACTTTTAAGACAATGGGCAATAAAGTTGAAATGCAGATTACAAACAAGAAAGAAAAAAATAGATTTTCACCCCAGAACAACATACTGTGAGACCCGTAGTTCTGCAGCACTCAAGCATAATCCTAGAGTGAAGTTTTAAGTGAGCTATTCATAGAAAAATGCAAAATCCTTGGAGCAACACACAAGAGGATGAATTGGCCTATGAAAAAACCAGAGTAATAACTGTAAACTGGAAGACAAGGATGTCTTTGCCATACTGCGTTGCCTAAAATCTTTCAGCACTGCCCACCCATCTAGGATGGATGCAGTGATAAAACTTTTAAGTGATTGCTGATAGTTTTTCAAGATCCTGCACTCTTACTACTCCACCAACAGTTTGATACAATGAAATACCTATTCTGGTGTGCGTGGGTGAGATCTAAGTAACCAAATGTGGAACGGCTGAGGAGTTGAACTAAATGATCTTTAAGATTCCTTCCAACCCAAACCATTCTGTGATTCTATGAATATGTGCAAGTAGTGAAATCCTGGATTCTGTGAAGTGTTTCTTGGCTTTCCTGTGTGTACCAGCCATCAACCATTGAGTATATTCAAGTCTAACATTAAGTACCTAAACAACATCTACGGTGATTACAGCAGTTCTGTCTTGTACAAAAGCTACAAGTTCAAGTGTTAAGACAGAATAGGGCATTTAAAGGGGAAACAAAGAAGCTTTGTGATTCATCACACTATGAACACTAACTCTTCTTTATGGTTGTTCTGTAAAATTGATACAATTATCAAATTTTATAGAATACACTTGAAATAGCACAGAGTTGCTTTCACATAAGAACCTGCAGACTCATACAAGAATTGTGTGAATGACTTTGCAATTTGCTTGAGAAATTCTAGAACAGCAACACATGACTAATTAAGTATTGGATTTCTGTAAGGCATCCCTGAAGCCATGTGAACTCTTAGTCTCCAGTAAGCCCCCTGCTTCCACTGCTGTCTGCCTTTCATTTCTATTGATGAACAAAATTAATGATTAAATTTACCACCTTTGTAAATTTAACTTGGTTACTGTTGTGGCTTGCAGATTTTCCTGTATTCCAGAATTTTTCATTCAATTTGACAGCAGATCCTCTGGCCCTGTGTCCCTTTCCATGTCTACCAAACCTTTTTTAGTGCATCCCTTGCTCAGTCCTAGTGAGACACAGTCACCCTGCCTGCTTGGATTCATGGATGAGGGAAGCAGTGAGGAGGGTGGGTGCTGTATTTACACCAGGCTGTGGGGGTGTGGGTGTGGTGCTGCGAGGAGCAGCCTCTCCGTGCTGTGGACACACTGTGTGTCCCGGGCACCTCAGAGACCATCAGCCTGCACTGGGGGGTTTTTTGAAGCCACTGGGCAGAGCCCAGGACGTGCAGCTTCTCTCCAGGATGTGTTAGGGATGTAGATGTCCATCTAGCCTTCAAACTCAACATCCTAAAAAACATGAGTTGGTCTGAGTCATGCAGGTTCAGGAAGAATGTGGTTCCTACAGGCACTGGATGTGTGGCAGGCAGGGGAGTGACATGCCTGAGTAGGAGGCATTACAAACAGCAGTCTGCTGTTTTTCACATTGTTTGTCATCCAAGCAGAGGGGATTGCAGAACCTTTAAGATTCAAAGTAGGGTTGTTTTTTTAAATCATGAGTTCTAACTATCCCAGCAGCGTGTTGGTGGACTGTGTTCTTACCTTAAAACTTGCCATCTTATGCGGGGATTGTTCAGTTTCTAAAAGTGAAGTCAAATTAGTACCAGCGTTTAGAACACTGTGAGACTGCACCCAGTTCAAGATGCTTTTTGTTTTGCTTAGGAAAGTAGGAGTGGCGCATAAGAAACATCTTGACTAACTAGTCCTGATGTCCGTAAATTCTGAGAGGTCTTAGGAAATTTCTCCAATTTGTTCTGTCTTTGTTTAATCCAGAAACTAGTCTTTGTCAAAGATCTTCAAGCACCAGAATAAGGAAATAAAACTAGACCTGACTGCTACTGCAGCCTTAAAGCAAAGTCACTGTAGTGCTCACACATTTCTTGAAACACTTTTTTTTGGTTTTTTTTTTTCCAGACCTAAAGATTTTCGATGGAAGTAATAGCAATAAATGGAGAAGAAGTGCCATCAGGATCGTCTCTCCTCCTTGAAAGAGAAGTCTTCTAACATGGAAGCACCTGTGCATCTCAGTCAACTCTTTTATACTGAATGTTTCTGGCGGCTGTTAGCAAACTTGATTTGGCAAGATTATGAAAATTACTGTATTTGAAACAGATAAAAATAGATATTGTCTTGTTAATATCACCTGTACTGCATTGTATGATCTATTATTTAGTGACATTTGGTTTGATACTATTATTAAAGAATTGATACCTTTTTCATGAATATTTGCATCTCACAGAAACAGTACATTGGTTACTAAAATGAAGTATCTCACTCTGAAAATTGCAAAAATTGAATTCCGTGCAGCAAGAACATAATTTTGGTCACCAGCCGTGGTTTTTCATCCTCAAGCTTTGACCCGACATAGTGTTGATTTCACTAAAGAGCTTGTTGAAATAACAGGCACTAAAGGCAATGTACAGGGAGATCATCCTCCTTTTTATCCCCCCTTAAGCACAAATCTGATTTTGATTCAAGTCACAGGAACAGGCCTTACTTCCTTTAAACAACATATTACAGAACAAAGCAGCAACATTTTTATTATGAAAACCAAGTGAGGAAACTGAAGTTAAATGTTGAATGATGCAAAAACGTCTTAAAAATTAGTTTGCTTTTGCAGGCTACTTCCCTGAAATTCCTTACTGCTTTTCTGCATGGAAGACCCTCAAGCCAAATCTGTTATGTAAATAAGTGAAGCACCTGTTGTTTTCGGTGTTGTGGAAGATGCTGATACGTTACCTACAAGATTTGACCACGTTTGGGGAGGAGAATTTGAGTTTTCTACATTTGCTTTATACAAGCATCATATGGGAAGGAAAATGTTGGTTTACTTATAATCATATTTCATTACATGCAATAATGGTTTGGTATCAGGCATTTCTTTGGCATTCAGGTGGGTTTATCCCAGGAAACATTCCTACTCAGTTAATAAGCAGCCTGCATTTCCAAGTAATTTCGTTAACAAGTGAATGTATTTTTAAAAGCACTAGGTTGCAGTAAATGCTCTTTTCTGTCTAAGGACACAGTACAGAGGGTTTATTGGTAAGATCTGAGTGGCATCAGCTGTTCACCTTGTGCTGAATACTCCAGTCAGCAACTTCAGTTTCTCAGGTGGTGTGGAAAAAATACAATGATTTGTATTTTGATTCTTCAGAGACTGGAATTTGGAGGAAATCTTAATTGTCTGTTACTTTTTTTGGTACACATACAAATCCTGAAAAATATTTTTATAATTTGGTAGTGCCCACTTAGTTAGTTACTTTTTAGTTAGGTAGGTAGGTAGCTAGTTACTTTTTATTACCAGGGTATGCCCAGCAAGTGACTGTATGACCAGTGATACCAGAAGCATTCTGGTCAATGGGGTGCCAGTAAATGGCATTTTAGATATAAATTAACAGGAGGCTCAAAGTCTTTCTGAGACAACACAGGCAGAATTGCCTGAAGGCTGATTTTCCATCAGTGACTTTCTCAGTCACTTCCATAGGACCTGCAGGTCACCACATCTCGGGGAACACTCCAGACGGTGTCAGTACAACACACAGGTGGGGGTGTGCCAGCCCGGGAGGGCACAGGGAGTTCACATTTGGGGTAAATTAATGTGCCAAGTGCCAGCAGGGAAATTAATCCTGTGGCACAGGCATTACCTGCATTATTTGTAATAATATCTTTCTGAATGTTTGCTGTGTGTGCCAGGCTCTCCCTGCTCGTGTGTGCAGAGAGCTGTGCTCACCTGGGGCCTCTGTTCTGTAAACCAGGACCGAGCTGCTGAAGGATAAAGTCCATAAACTGCATTATACTTTTCTACCACATTCTACGTTAAATGCAAGTGCATGTAAGGAAATGACATTGAGCTCACATTCCATCACCTCTTATCACCGTTCTCCAAGAAAGTAGTGGGAAGTTAGGGATGAAAGAAATTATGGGAAAACAGAAGCACAGCCTACAAAGGTATCCAGCCCCCAGCCAGAGCTTGCCCATGGTTAGTCACATGTACAAATGGTGTGTGTTACTAATGAGGTGGAATTCTAGGTGAGATAATTGGAGATTACACAGTAAAAGTATGTGTTGATCTTCCTCCTGGTGAACTGAGGGAGCTGCCAGTGGTGGCCAGAGGTCAAACCTGACAGGTTTTTCTTAACTGAAAACGGACAGACCTCCCCCAGGCAGGGATGAGCAGGAAGACAGCCCTGGGATGCACAGACCAGTCTCTCCATCTCTGTATAAGGCTGAATTAGAAGCGTCCCACACCTATGCTTTCAACTTAAATGGACATTGTGAGGTAAATCTTGCTTTGATGCTTAGTCTCCAGTGCTGCTCAAGCTGTTTATTGAGTCACTTCATAGCTTATCTTGTAGATAAAGAATTGCTCTGTGCTCAAGTGATTGGGTTGGCGTTTTTCCTTCCTCTCCTCATTAGCTGATCCAAGTTGCCATCCCAGCTACACCTGCCAGTCTTTTGACTTTGGCATGTCAATATGTGAAATCTCACCTCCACAGATGGTACAGCCAGCTCATCTCACAGTTACTCTCTACATTTGTCCATATATAATTTTAAAAATAAGGCTAAACAATGTTTATACTAAGTGCCTACACCCTTTAAAATAAAACTGTTGCCCAAAAGTGTTGAAAAAGGGGAATGTATTTCGTTCTCATTGCAATCTGTCCCCTAATCTAATGCAACTGTTCAGAGTTAAAAATCAAATGAATACACAATTACCGTACAAAAGCCTGCCACTTTTATTTGCATACAAAACAGAAATGAAAGAGGTTCACAATAAATTATCAGTGTGCTCCCACAGAACATTCTTGTGTATTTATATCATGTGAGTTAAAAAAACCCCAGTCTGTTAATGTATGAATTCTTTGCAAAAGGGTTAATACGCTGGGTTCAAGGAAACCTGATTATGTTTGTTTTCCAGTGAATTTAGTCGGGTTACTCTGCTAGTAAAGCAATTAATCCAAAACCAACAGAACATAATCAACTAGAAAAAAACTGATAACAAAACATTTAACTTTTCTGGATGGTTCTACGTACCCCAACTCGCGGGACGCATGTTTTTATACAGTTTGAATAGTGAACGGAACAGTACTCCAGAGAGAAGATCTCCAAGTGACCTTCCATCATCATGTAGCACCAACCCACTAACAACTAAGCTTCTGGCATGCAAGATAATTACCATTATTTGTTGTGTCAACCAGTCATGTACACTTTTTTCTCCTTTAACATAAGAGCCTGTAAACATCTTCTGTAACAGGTGAGGCACCTGGACAAAAGGCCAAACAGATGCACATCAAATGTTTCCCTCTTATAAACAGTTCATTGAGAAGGTCTTTTTCCATTTGCCTTTGTGCGTGCTGGAGTCCTGGCGCTCCTTTTGGCTATCCTCCTTGCGAAGTGACTGATTCCTGGGGATCTCAGTTCAACGGCTTCCATCTCTTCTTGGACAGGAGTAAATTCTGGTTGAGCAAGATGAGGTGATGGATAGGACTGGGAGTATGGGGATGGTAAGGGGTAGGACCCGTGAACTATGTACGGCTGTTGCTCACCATCATAAAGGTCCTCAGGGTCATAGATTTGGTAGGAGTTATGTGGCAACTGCACTACTGGGATGTCTTGATCAGTTGGCTCACCGTATCCACCTTAACCCACCACCACCAAGAGTATTCATACGGTTAACACAGGAGAAGGGGAGTAGAAAATTAAAGCATTCATTAGGAAATTGACATTTTATATATAGATATATTTCTATATCATGTGTGAGAGTATATATATATAATCTTTAAATACACATCTTTTATTCACATAAAGGAACAATGAAAACATTTAACAAAATTAATAAGCTGGAGCAATTGGAAACCCACCAACAGACAGCCAAGTTAGTTGGAAACCACCACCAGAATTTGTCAAATGTCCAGTTGTAATACTGTGCTCATTATACACTGCACACTCTGCCTGCTTTAGCTTATTCCAATTGTGGGCTAGAATACATGATTGACAGGCAAAAATGGGTCAGCCAATAATTTTTAGCAGTGCCAGGAAGCCAAGTGCATGTACAGCAGCTGTAAGTTCATTAGTGGTAGTCAATATCGTTGCTGGAAAGCACAGAGCAGTTCAGCATCCATCTCTGACCTTCAGCCCAATGAGACCTGAACCAGAATGAGCCTTTCACCTTCTGGATTGGTAGCCATTGTAAGGGATTGGGCCTTAAAATAGGAAATGAACAACAGGGAGGGGAAGTGAGGAGAAAAGGATAGGAAGAGACGACAACAAAAACATTTAGGTAAGTAAAACATACAAATCAGCTCAAGGCAGATTAAACTGTAAACATCAAACAAATATGCTTTATGTGTAACATATGTAGGGACTAGTGCCGTACTAATAAATTTCAGTTTTAGGTTGGGTGGCATAATTGTTGGTAACTGTGTTAACTTCTTCCCATGGCCTCTCCGTCCTATAACGAGAGGGGAAAGTAGGATACAGAGAAGATGGAGAAAGAATCATTTTTCCAGATGGCTTCACTGGTTAATGATGGACACGTGCATCCCTGTGCCAGGTTACACTACTATGGTTTTAGTAAGGGTCATGCTCTCATGCCACTCAGAGGCATACAGAAGGGGAAGGTTCAGCAACACGACTGAGAAACTACAAATGTAAAAACTCTGCTGTCACAAACATTACATGGTGGGGTCCAACACGCAGACCGCTGAGATGGAGCAGGCTGATACAACTACACAAACACGTACAGGACAAAACCCACTAGGCAGGATGTGTTTTACAGGCTGGGATCAGATGGTGGACTTCCTTTGGTCACTGTGCTGGGGTCACCACCTCTTTGTGCTGCAGTCCCACAAAGTACAGCCACACTGGACACGCAGGTTTTTGGGGAGCTGCCACGTTTTAGCACAGGGTTCACCGGTAGCCTCCATCTTACTTTGGCTGTTAGAAAATGCCACCCTCACCTGTGCAGACGGCAGCTGCCCCAGCTCCTGACTACTCACCTCCCATGCCATAACCAGCGCAGGAGGACGGATCACAGTACCCAGGGGGACCAGAAGGGCCCTGTGAGCCTGGGGGTCCCGTGTGACCGGCAGGACCTCGTGGGCCTGGTGATCCTGGCGGTCCTGGGCTGCCAGTTCGACTTTCTCCTGGAGGTCCTGTGTGGAAAGCGGGAGATGAAACATCTGAGTAGTGTCTTTCATGAAATCAGGGATTGGAGGCCACTTTCCTTGGCCTGGAAAACATGGCACTGAGTGTGCTACAAACACTTCCAGGAGACAGCCTGAGGAGAGCAGCTGGGCATCCTGGCTCTGACTCCCCTGGGCAAGCTGAGGGAAAGACTGCAGCCTCTGGCAAGGAAGGCAAAGCAGCAGCCCAAGAGGAGACCCGCTCCTGATGAGCTTCCTTCTCTGGCCGCTACTTTGCCTTCCTTTCCAGACACAGCTTTTAGCCAGAAATTTATACTAAAGCAAATGTTTCACCAAGCATCAAACTTCCAGAAAGGCAGTTTCATGGGGGAGGGACAGCCCTTGATGCCTGCGCAGCTCTTGATTTCCCCTACTCCCTTTCCATACAGTTTCTGGGTAACGCTGTGCCTTGATACCAGTGCTCTCATGGCCAGAATATCCCAATTAAGTCAATGCAATTTTACTCCTGTTTCAACAGGACCTGGATATCACCCCTCAGCTTCTTCAGGAGCTAAATATAAATCCCTGTGATTAATGTGCTTAATTACTATACATTTCTATGTCAACTCACACTTAGCTATGACCTTGAGTCAATGAGAAAACAAATGCAATTAGTCCAGACTACTTTTTT